GGCCCAGCTATGCTATAGCTATGCTATTACAGGTTAACCCTTTTAAAATAAAATAACAAGTAAGCCCATCCTATATTAGCGATAACATCAGGGGTGGAGCTAGATGGGGGGCAAGGGGTGGCCATGGCCACCCTTAGCCAATCATTGACCACCCCTGCCATTTATTTCCCTCTAATACAGATAGTGGCAGAAGTAATACTCTAAAGTGGAATATTCCAAACATTTTATTTTTTTGTGGTTAATCATACACATCAATATACCAACATCAAAGATGATAAATACAGAATTCATGCTCTTTTCAGAACTAGATTTAGTCTTATATGGGGTAAAGAGAAAATGGTGTCTCTGCAAGTCATCTAGGAGTCTTTCAGTGAAATCAAAGATAAATAAAAATGTTGATAAAAACTTATCAAATAATCAATTTATGTAGATATACATGCTTGTAAATATCAATTTTATGCAGAATGTTTATTGATACAAGTAGTTAAGTAATGACAATGATGATTGATTTACACCCCAGAACTCAAAACTGAGTTTTATCCATCCATCCATCCATTATCTGACACGCTTGTCCCAATTGGGGTTGTGAGGGGTGCTGGTTCCTATCTCCAGCTGTTAATGGGCGAGAGGTGGGGTACACCCTGGACAGGTCCCCAGTCCATTGCAGGAGTTTTATCCATTATACCTTTTATTCAGAAATTACGGATGTTTGAATATATGCGTCTATTTGTTAGCAAAGGCTGTAGGAAATTATAGTTAGTCTTTATTTAGAGAATATGGATGTTGTGCTCGTTAATTATCCTGTTGGAACAGTGTAGATTGACCGTGAGGTTCTGGTGCCTATCAGCTTTCAGCCACCCCTCAGTGTATAATGGTTATTGCCTGGCCACCCTTATTAAAAATTTCTGGCTACGCCTCTGAATAACATATGTAACATGCAATTATTATGCAACTAATTATTTAAAAACTGTGAAATATAAGAACAATAAAAGATGCTGAGCTGTTATACTTTTTCAGTATTTTTTACAGATGTATAATCCTTAAGCCATCTGGAAATTTAACGATGACTGATGTAAGATGAATGTATCAAAGAGATTTGATGGATCTCTTTGATGGATGTTATAGCAATGCTCAGTGGCTGTGTAAGGAAATCGCAGGGTTTAAACCCGATTGGCTAGTTGGGCCCCGAATAAGATTAAACAAATAAAATAAATAGAATAAATTAAAGAACATATTAATTTATTTAGTCAATTCAAGTGAAAATATTTATTTGAGTTCATATTTCCAGTGTTCAAAACATTTATATTTACAGGTTAAAATATGTGTACAGGATGATTAGCCTTTTATTGGTTGTTCACTGGGGATTCAGGTGTTCTTTTGGCTTCATTCATACAGGGGAGTGGAACTACATTGTTTTTTTTTAACCTCTTTCATTTTACTCTTCGTATTGTTTACTCTTTATTATGTAATTGATTTTTTAATGTTTGGAACTGCTGAACCTGACTGAAAAGACCAAGTTTTATCAATTTATTTTTGTTTTGTTTTTGCTTTTGTGGATATTAAGGGGATTGCAAGAGGATTGCAACACTTCCTCATTTGTGGTTTGATTGTGTCAGAGGACTTTCAACACTGATATGAATTGTTGTTGTATTCCAGGTTTTGTTGGTCAAATTCTGTTATGTATGATCTTTAGTTTTACTCAGGGCTGCTGCAACATGCAGACGGAGCTCCATAGTGTGAAGTACCAATGTCTGCTGCTCATTCTGATGGATTCTTAAGGGCCCTTTGAAGCAAATGTACACTCACCGGCCACTTTATTAGGTACCCCATGCTAGTAAC